GAAGGATGTGAATTGCATCAATTGTTGATTTCCCCGCTAGGAAACCAAATTGATAATTTCCGATTGTGATGCACGACGTCAATGATTTTCTCGACAATTTTCAGAGAGTGTTCTAACAGACGTATACCACGATATGATGAACAGTTTAATGGATCACCTTTGCCTTTGTATAGCTGGACTGTCATGTTATAGTTCCATTCAGTCGGCATTGAGCAATGTCTCCAAATTTCACGGCAAAGTTGTAGTAACGTTTGGATACCTGCAGTACCAGATGCTTTGATAATGTCATTTGTGAGTCCAGAGGGCCTTGCTGCCTTTCCATCCTTCATAGCTTTCAGAGCTTCTGTAAGCTCCTTTACAGTGATGTCTGAAATCGGACCTTCGATGGGTGGAGCGTCAAAGTTAACATTGATGGGATTTGATTCGTTTAACAGACGGTTGAAGTATTCTTTCCACTGTAGCTTGATCTCATCTTGTTCAAGAACCATCTTATTTTTGTCATTTTTAATACATGAGGCACCAACTATGTCTTTTTTCGTACGCTTTGCTTGTTTTGCTATACGATACAGAGATTTCATTTGTTCACCTTTGCTTTTAGTCAGCCACTCTTTGCACTGATCTGTCCGAGCCAGTGCAACTAGACGTCTTGCATAGTTGTTCTTCTCACGGAAAATTTTATGGTCATCAACAGACTTTGATTTTTGCCATTGCTTGTATGCAAGTTTCTTTTCAGCTATTGCATTTTGTACACTGTCATTCCACCACCAAGTGTACCGTTCCTGCTGACGTTCTGTACCAGTTTTCCCACAAACAGTACTTGCAGCGTTCATCAAAACGGTTTTGTATGTACTCCAATCTGTACTGGCTTGCGATTGGTTGTCTAACTGTGTGGCGACAATCTGTTGAAATTTTTCTCGATGAACATCGCTTTTCAGCTTCCACGTTTTGATTCTTCGAGGCATTTGTTTAGACTTATGTTTTGACAGTTCGACGACCAGGTCTGCCACAAGGAGTCTATGTTGGGCGACACATGATTCGCCAGGTATAACTTTGACGTTTTTGAATAGCCTTCGGTGTTGTTGCTTGACAACGAAGAAATCAATTTGCGTGGCTAACCCACTTTTGTATTTTATGAGATGTTCCAACCTCTTTCTAAAATATGTATTCAGTAAACAAAATCCGTGACTTTCAGCAAACTCAAGGATGCGGTTGCCATCTTCATTCCGTTTTCCATAGCCAAAACCGCCATGTACGTTGTCAAAACCATCTGTTTTCTCTCCAACGTGGCCATTGAGATCGCCTCCAATCAGGATTGTTTCAGATTTTGGTATTGTTGAGATGGTGTCAGAGAATGCAGTCCAGAAGTCATTTTTCATCTCTTCTGAATCGCTTGTCTGTGGTGCGTATGCAGAAAAAAATAGTCATTGTTTGCTTTTCTATGCGAAGCTTGATCCACATGAGACGTGAATTAATCCTTTTAATATCCAGTACTTCTTGGGCTAGCGGTTCTCTGACAAAAATTCCAACACCATTTTTGGCCATCTTTTGACCATTCCAGAATAGTTTATATTTTTCTTTGTCTGAGTTGACATGACAGACACCATTCGATTTCCATCGGGTTTCCTGAAGGCAGCAGATGTCAATCCTTCTACGTTCCAGCATTTCTGCGATTTCCATGCTGCGGCCAGTCAGTGATCCAACATTGAGCGTTCCAAGTCTAAGTACCATAGAGGGGCCGTTCTGAATTTTTCTGCAACATCCCTCCGCTTTTGCATACTTCCCAGGGATTCTTGGCACCCCTTGACCACTTAAGGCCTGCTGGGGACTAGGGGTCGTTGTTTTTCTTTGTGATGGCATAGGAATAATTTGGGGAAAGGTTTTTACATCCGGACACCCATCCTGACGACAACCACCAGTTATAAGCGGTGGGCCTAGCCTTTCGCTCAAAAGCACGCAAGGTAGCGTGGATGCAGTTTTATGTCATACCCAGGACCAACTGATTGTTGATTCATGAAACACATCAAAATTACTATTTAAAGACGGAGTTTTTTAACGAACATGAATATGAAAGAATGAAATAATTAAATTTATCATGCGTGTATAACTTTTGGCTTGCGGTATTACGCTAAAGGCATTTATATGAAATTTAACATCTTTTTTACTGAAATTTTTTTTGACAAATCGAACTGTTTTTAAAAAAGTGCGCGCAGCAAATCATTATTTGATTTTTTGGGACACATTTGCTAATACGCCATTTAAATATCATTGCTAGGTACTCTCAAATCAACTCCAATCCAACCAGTTAAAACGGCATTTATCATTGCCATTGGGTGGTCTGTAAACACGTTAATAAAAATTGGCCAGGCGTTTACCTTTTTTATAACATATCTTTTAAAATTTATCAAATGATAAGCAACTGACGCTGTGTCATGGTGATTGCTTATAAAATCGAAAATTTGAGCGTAACCAACATCAAGACCTACCACGGAGCTGTATAGATATATAGTTTGTTTGATATGAACCACAGACACCGTTGAATCTAAATGTATTGTTGGTAAGTCTGTCTGACCTAATCTCAAAATAACTTCAATTTGGTTGACAGGTGGCATAAAATGGAATGGCTGAAACTGCTTGTATATAAATTTCATCCGTTTTTTGACATTTTTGACGTTCTATTAAATCAGTAACGTCATATTTTGCCTTATTGCCTACAGCCATAGCCTGACATTTTTGAATCCCTAAAAAAAAGTCTTCAGGAAAAAAAGTCTTCAGAAAAAATATCTTCGGAAAAAAAGTCTGATCATATATTTAAAATACATGTATCGGAACGTATAGCCGATAATGTCATGCAAAAAAATCGTACTTTTATCACTGGAACAATAATTAATTAATCAGAGGACGAATGACTACAAGTGGCGCTAAATTGAAACAATTTGGTTGATATTATTATTGTTGTTGTTGTTCCTGAAGGGCCCTCTACCATATGTTTTATCGAAATAAATGAAAAGATTTTCTAGTCAGGGTACATCTGGAATATTCCTTTCTAGGTGTTGGAGGGCATCATACAAACGGTTTATTGGCAAGAAAGCAATGCCATCTAGCATGCCAACAAAATGTCTAACATCATCCCTCTCTTTGTAAATGGTTGTTAGACCTAGCTCTGCTATCTGAATTTGAGATAACAAATAAATAAAAAATAAAAAATCCATAGCAAAATTTCATTCAAACAGGCAAAATGACAATTGATTAAAAATAGTTAACAAAGCATGCAACTATACCTTTCTCCATGTTGACTGTGTCAAATGGAAAAAACATCCTACAGCTTCTACGTTTGCACCGAAGATATCATGTAAGGCACGTCTGGGGGCAATTTCGAAGTCTAACATAACAGTGGTTGGAGCCAAAATTATGTTGTGTTCTTGCGCCTTATCTTTAATTGCCCTAAAAACTTCTTCATATGACGCCTGATTTCTTGATGTCATTAGGGCATAGGCGCATGTTACATAATGGTTAAGATAGGCAACTCTAATAAAGTACAGTTGGTGAAAAATATTTAGAGACAAGCTAAAATTACCACCCATAAACCATCTGATGACATATATAATAGTTAATATATATCAAAATAAGCGAAGTGGTTTAATTACAGATGGAACTTCAATTTCGAAGTAACTAATTAATTTAATAAGCCGCATTCTTCCTAAATAAATAAAATGTAACTACCTAGTACTTCTTCCCATTTGTTGTAATTGCACGAATGTCGAAAAAACAATTATCCGGTTGAATTGGATTGGCTCCACTGTCGTAGATGATGACATTTTCGTTGCCTTCTCTCATCTGCCAAGCTTTTGGTATTTCGAATTCTGTGTTGGATGGTTCAATTAGAATATTTTTGCGGTGTTGGTTTCTAATTGTTTTTGTCACGTGATCTTTATGGTCTACATTTGCTCTGTCTTCTTCATCTAACCCCGATAAAGCATCTGCATATATTTGGCTCGGTTTGGCCGTAGAAGATAGTATAGCAGTCTTTTTCATTTCATTCAAAACCTTCGCTTTTGCAATTTTTTCGGGTTCTGAAACATGGTTGTGTTCTTTCTGACACTTTATTTCAAGAAATCTAATTATATAATTTAATAAAGACAATATATATATATATATATATATTGAAATGAATTTATATATCAGATTAACAAATAAAAAGATATATTGATTATTTACCTCAATGTTTGTTGAAATTGCTCCTAAACAGTTGAAAAATGTTTTTCTAGAGCATTGCCAACGAATCGTTGCTCCTCTACTCAATTTTTTTGTATACATATACCCTTCCAAACACTACTTCTGACCTCCTTTATTATTTTCAATAATTTCCATAGTAACAGAATAAAATAACGATTAAAATTTTTACAACTTTAAAGTCCATGCCAATAAACTTTTTATATGATATTAATACACAAAGAAACCTTGAAATAAAATTCTATTTTTTTTTTAAATTTAAATTACACTACTGATTAAATGCATGCGAATTGCTTTCTCATCATCAATCATCATTGATTGTTCTAAATTTACATGCCAATTTGCGCTAGAAAGCTTGAGAACCAATTTACTTAATTATATGTTTATGGTCTTTTGCATAATGTTTAATTCTTTATCATCAACGATTTGTGTTTTTTGGCTGTTTGTATTTAAAAGTGTATCTGATGATCATTACAATAATTATAAATTAATAAGTAATTGCATTCTATCTCGTCTCGTATTATCTGTTAATATTAATAATAATAATATAAATCATAATTTGAAAACAAAAATTGTCCGGGAGTAATTGTCCTGGGGGTATTTTGTTTTGGGGGGAATTGTCCGGGCGGTTATTTGCGTGGGAGGGGGGGTTTTTGTCCGGGGGTATATTGTTTGGGGGGGTTTTTCGTCCGGGGGGTTTTTTGTCCGGAGAGTTATTTGCGTGGGGGGTATTTGTCCGGGGGGTAATTGTCCTAGAACCGTTTTTGGCACATGCTGTAACACTTTAACAACCCTATAATCCATTCCAATAAACCTCTCAGATAATATTAATACACAAAGAACATAATAAAGTTATTATGATTTTTATTAATTTTTATTGTAACAAATTTTTTATGTAAAAATGTAATTTATAAACTAAATGATAAACTAGTTGATAAACTAAATGCCTCATTGAAACAATTCTGGTCTAACATTGTCAATTTCTGGAAGCTTGACAGAGTGGGAGGAGAATGAACATGGAATGATGAACTTTAAGAGAAACATAATTTATTCCCTAAGGTGCACGAAATAAATTTTTAACGTTTTCATTTGTAATAAGTTTAAAAAAAAATTATGCATTGTTGTTTAATATATCTGTATATATATCTGTATATATATATATATATATATATATATATATATATATATATATATTTTGGTATGAGGTTTTCAGATAAACATGTACGGTTGAAGATTACACCCCATTTTGCAGTTAGAAGTTTTTTAAATAAAATTTCAACAACACGAAGCTGTTTTGTTTCAACTTTATTAAACTGTGAAGTTTGTCATATCTAAAACTCACATTCATATTACAAATCCTAAAAAACCAAAAATGGAATCATAATTATTAAGTAACCAACTCTTTTACATTTTTATCAGAATGTCGTTTGTAATTATTGTAACACAAATATATAGATAGACCCACGTAATACATACTCATTCACACACACACATATATACACACACACACGTACACACACACACACACGTACATGAGCCCACACAAAAAGTTAAGGGGGTTTAAATGTTAAAAAGTAGGATTTGATGTCTTTTTTAAATTTTACAACGGATTTTGCTTCTTTCAAATATTCAGGTAATTTGTTCCACGTCTTAGGTCCGACGACTATTATGCTACTATTGATAAGTTACAATCTGTTTTTTTCAATATAAAATGTTGAGGTATGTCTTGTGTGTTTTAACTGGATTGCGTTACTATAAATAAACAAATTATTAAAATTTTTTGGAATTAAGTTGTTAATAAGTTTAAAAATAAATTTGAGATGCATGAGTAATAAATTTGTTTTATTGAAAGTAGTTTTGCAATCTGAAAATAATTAGAGGTGTGGTCATTAAATTTTAAATCGAATAAAATTCATCTAAAACGTTTTTGACATTTTAACAGGGGATCTAGCTGATCACGCAATAATGAATATAAGGGTATATAAAGCTATAATACAAATCTTTTAATATTGTGGAATTAATCTTATTTTTGATTTTATAAAGTATACCTTTGAATTTATTGATTTTTGATTTAAGATTTTCAATGTGATAACTGTAAGACAAATTATCTTGCAGAACTAAACCCAAAAAAACAACTTGATTGGTTCTGCTTAATTTCACATTGCTGAACACAAGGTCCAAGTTCGAGAAACTATTGGTTAAAATCTTTGGTCCAAATATAACATAGGCCGATTTGGATGAATTAACCATGAGTTTGTTCATAGAGAACCAATCCTCGAATAATTTGAGTTCATTATTTATGACATCTAAATCTCGTTTAAGGTCATCAGAAGAATAAAAAATGTTTGAATCGTCAGCGTAAAGAAAGCAATTCATCTTTTTTGATAAGTAGGCAATTTCATTTATATAAATCAAAAAAAGCAAAGGGCCTGATACAGACCCTTGCGGGACTCCACACGAAACTTCACGCGTCCCAGATTTAACATCATTCACGAAAACATATTGCTTTCTACCCGAGATATAACTCTCAAACCATTGATTTGTAATACCACGAATCCCATAATGG